TCGCCAGTGACTCACGGCAGCCCAGCTCCAGGTTGAGCTGTTGTTCAGCATCTTAGCTGTAGAGGGCAGTGTCACTGGCCCTCACATGATCCGAACCAGGCCCTCTGGTGTCCCAAGCCAGCTCTTAACCATCGTGCCACTCAGCTGGCCCCCCAATAAAATCTTAAACTCCTCTGCCCCCCCCAAAAAACCATTCTCAGTAAACCTATCCATTTCCCGATGGGGTGGACTAACCAGTTCTAAAGTCTCTTCCAGTTCTGATTCTTTGATTCCAAATAACCTCAGTATAATTGGTGTCACCGTACATTAATATTAACGACAAACCAAATTGCATCCTGTTTAAGTATTCCCTAAAAAAACGGAGCATTTATTGATTTGTCGAGGGCTCCATATTGTTGTTATTTAATACAGTGTTTAATGCACACACGCTTATATCAAATAGACATTAGTTAATGTTTACAAGGACTTTGCATAAACAAAAAACAGGTATTTTCTAGCTTCAACATGGTAGCCTGCTATGTCCAAAAATATAAGCAGTTCCTATTTTTAAATGTACAACACGATCCAAGACTTAAATCCGTGTGCCACCTGACCTTGGTTAAAATAATCAGAAAGTAAAATTCTCTTTAGGCATAGATAGTCCCACCGAGGACTGCACTATTAATTCTCCCAGAAAAAAAAATGGGCTCTTCCGACATTTTTTTTGTCAGTGCCAGTGGCAGCTGGTGACAGTTTTGAATGAATATGGAATCTGACTCAGGAAGGCCAACTGTTTGGCCAAGACTCAGTGGCCCTTTACAGGCTATGAGAACAGTGGATCTCAAATCAGGTCAGAGGGAGGATTGTGGGTCACCATCTTCCGCCCACTCAGCCTCTCTGCCCAGCTGCTCAGGTCTGTCCCCATCCCTCTGATCCAGCTGCTGACCTAGCCTGCAGAGGGTTACTGGTGGGATCACAGCCAGGATACCTTCGGACAAATATCGTTTTTAAATGATGAAATATTTTTTAACACGCAGTCAAGTATAGAGACTAACACAATGGTACCTACTCATGTACCCACCACCCAACTGTATCAACATTTCCATCCTGGCGTCATTTTTTTCCCCAAGAGATAAAATTAAAAAAAAAATAGAGGTGACATTTCCTGTGTCCTGCTTCCTGCTTCTTTCTTTTGTGTTTCCTGGGTGATAGTCTGAATTCGGTGATTGTTGTTCCCATGCAGGTTTTTGTCCTTGACTACATGCGAATGTCATCCCAAACAATGCAGTGTTTGTCTGCGTGTTTTCACTCTTTATGAAGTGGCAGTACTATACTGCACACATTATTCTACAACTCATTTTTTGTTTTCGCTCAGCTTTCTGTTTTTGAGATTTAGTTGTCGTGTTAGCTATTGACCTATTGTTTCTCAGTCCTGTACCCACCCTTCTTTAGTTTATTTCTTAAGCTTCTTTGCCAGTTGGTTTCCCTTTAGATTCTGCCAGTTGGAAGCACTGCAGAGAGAAGTCTTCGTTTTTCTTTCATTTTTGCTCTTTTCCTTCATCTGGTGCTTTTTCCCGGTGCAGCAACCTGTCCTCTATACCCCCAGCTCCAGTCCTGGCCCTTCCTTGAGTCTCCTAGCTTCAGTAACAACCCCTCCTCATTTTTAACCCAATATTAGGGGTGTAGCACCTTCCTACAGTTCATAGGCTCTGACTTATCATCCCCTCTTTTTTTTCTCTTTGAGCTTTGCAACATCTTTATCTCAAGGTCATAAAAAATATTTTATATTTCCTGCTAAAATATTGAAAGCTTTGCTTTTCTATTTAGGTTTTCAGTTCACCTGAAATTTATTTTTTTGCATGGTGTGATGTAAGGGTCACATTTTTTTTTACCATGTAAGCAATTGTTCCAGCATCATTTATTATCATTCATAGTTTACCATTTCTCCACTGATTTGTAATGCCAGTGCTGTCATATGTTATATTCCCATATGCATGTGGTCTGTTTCTGGACTCCATTCTGTTCAATTTCTGTATTTGTATATTCCTGTGCCAATGCAAGAGTTCTAATTAGCATGATGTTACAAATAATCTTGTTAGCTTATTGGCAAGTCCCACACCCCATTCTTCAAAATCACCATGGATATTCTTTTTTTTTTTTTTTTTAAGCTGAGCCATCCTGCCACCTGTTGGCAGCTCACGGCTGCTCAGCTCGGGCTGACTCGAACCACTGTTGCTCAGAGC